CATATCTAGCACAGCGCTTGGCTCACAGTTGACCATCAGTAACTAATTTCTGAACCTTCTTTCCAGGAAATGCTTTTCTGATTTTCCATAAAGTACTTCAGCACACCCATGTGTCCTGTTCCTCATCGTTTCTAACACAGTACTTCAGGAATTTATGAGCAGCACAGGATGTTCATCTAAAAATCACCTTGCTTGTATTTCTTTCCTTTTTTAAATTTATATATTAATTGGTACATTTTAGGTATACATTTACATTTATCATTGGATGCTTGTACCTGAACATGATGTATCTTGGTTCTTATTTTTCCCCCATTACCTGTGCGCCCTTCACCCCCTCCACCCTTCCCTATTTACATAGACTTTTTTTCTTTTTTTTTTTCTTTCTCATAATTTTTCCTTTCCTTTCTTTTCTTTCTCCTTCCCCTCCCACCACCCCTACCCCTTTGGACCTTTTCCTATTTCAAATTATCAATTATTCATTTTAATCATTTTCATCCTTATTTGCACTTTCAGTTTCTCACACTAGAGATACTACTCGGTAGTTACACGTGTGTCCTATTTATTTCATTTAAGAGTATGGGACTTGACCATCTTCCTGTCAACACACATCACACATAAGTCTTTGCAGTTTTAGGAGAGTATACAGATCCTATCTAAATATCGTGAAGCCAAGGGCAGCACACTTTCATCTGGATGGAAACAGGACATGACAATATTATGGATATTTATTGCATAAATATTTATTTTACCCAGCCTTAAAACACAGGCCTGCATCACATCCTGATATATTAAAGATCCTGATGGAACCAGGAACCGGAGAACATTTATGGTCTGCACAACTTCCACTGACCTCAGAGGAAGCTGCACAAGTCAGATGAATTGAATAGTGCCGCTTTTAATATGTAATGTGATTTCTATCAATTGCTAAATTTAGCTAATGGAATATATACATTGATAAATCTTACACTCAGATATTGTTCTTGCCTATCAGTTGCACATTTTTAATTGTATACCTACATGTTTCATATTTTGGCTAAAGAATTAATGCCAGTGAATTTCTTTAGTGGAAGAGAAAAATTAGCCAAAATTAACTGTGTTAGTTCTTCAAACTACTGATTCTCAAAGATAATATCTTCTTTTTCAATTTTTTAAAAAATCTGCTTGGATTCCTATGAGTGAAATTCATGTTTCATTTCAATTTTACAGCAAGAAGCATTTTCTTATGAATCCTTTCAAGTTATAGGAAACCTCTGCTCCTACGATGGGCAATTCCTTTTGGGTTTGTAGATTGGCTTCTGTTTCTTGCTCCCTCAAGGAACTTCCTGGGCCTCTAGTCTTACCCTCACACCACTCAACACTCAGTGAGCTCATCATTCTGACCTTCTTGGTGTCCTTTTTAGATTCCTCATTCTATCTGATCTCTGACTTAAGGCCCCCTTTATAATCTTCAATCCATATTGTGTCAAATACATTGCAATCATAGTAATACATGACCAGGAAAGAAACCAAAGGCAGAATTGCTGTTACATGGAGTAGGTGTGCAGAAAATGAGACAATCTTCAAAAGTGCAAATGACTGAAGGCATCAACTCTTAGTTGTGGGTTCTGCAACACATCGGTATGGCATTAAAATGCAGCTTCATCACTTTCTTGCTTATGATCTTGAACAATTTACTTAAAACCTTGACTATAAGATGAGGATAAGAACAGATAACCTCATGTGGTTGCCCTGAACATTACATGACATTATTCATGTAAAATGCATAGTGCACTTAGTTCATAAGCATTCAATAGCACTTAGTTACTATATACGCTTTCAGTATTAGTAAGATCAAATTGTTATTATTACACATTATTTTAAATTAATTTTTCTCTAGTGGTAGATCTTAATTAGGCTCCTACCTGCCATATAAACTTATTCACCCTTCAAATGTTTATAAAGCATGTCCTATATATCTAAAATGGTATTTTAGGTACACAGACTATATCAATAACAAAAAGAGATTTCTGATGACATTACTGGGAAGAGACAGACAATAAACAGTAGGCCTAATAAATAAAGAAATTATGTAAGTGCTGTGGGAAAAAGAGAAGTAGAGCAAAGAAAGGGGAGCTTTGGGTCTGATGGCAAGTGTGATTAGCAGAGGCCTCACTGAGGTGACATTGAGAACACTTAAGAGGGGAAGTGAGACATATGGTCACTGGGAGCAGAATGTCAAGGGCAATGAGCAGCCGGTGTATTGCTCAGCATGACTGAAGCCAGCAAGGAGGCCAGCCATGGAAGGGAAAAGTGAGACTATCTAGAGCCCAGATTTTTATTCTGCACGAAATGAGAAGTATGGTAGAGCTTGGAGCAGAAGAGGGGCTGCATTCTCAACCACAGCTTGGGCAGGCAAACCAGCTCATTTCCCAGCCAATGTTACATTCTCTTACTGGACTTTATCCTGACCCCAAATCCTAAACTTCTTTACCAAGCTTTTGTCTTCACATAGATTCATGCGGACTAAATATCCTTGTTGTACCTTTATGTCATTAAATTTCTATGTCATTAAATTTCTGATTACGACAGACCTAAGTCAGACAACTAACTTCTAAACAAATCAATTAGAATCTACAAATTTCCTAAATTTTCATAGCTTTTGTGAATCTCAGCCAGCACGAAACTTTCAGCAATATCGAATGTATACATCTCAGAGATACACATGCAGTCATGGGGAATAGTTATCCCAAGAAACACAGGGTTATGTTTTGTTTTTTGTGGGGTTTTTTGGTACCGGGGATTGAACTCGGGTCCTTGTGCTAGCAACGTAGGTGTCATTACCACTGAGCTAAATCCCCGGCCCTAGGGTTATGCTGATACCTATTTTCCTTTATGTTTATACCTATTTTTCTCTGTGTTTTGTAAATTTCTTGAAAGCTTAGACCAGTGGTGGTGAACTTCTGGCACACATGTCGCAGCAGGCTGTTTGCATCACTGAAAGCTCTAAAAGATTCACCATCCCTGGCTTAGACTGTTATTCTTTGGTGTTTCGATAATAGGTGAAGACTTGTCTCAATCATACAATATCATTTTCCCTAATGTGCAGTAGTAACAGTTATAAACAAAATCATAGTTTAATTAGACTGACTTTGACTTCCTCGTTTAATCTATTAAAATTTTTGCTTGGGGCTGGGGATTTAGCTCAGTGGTTCTGCCACCTGCCTCCCAGGTGCAAGGACCTGAGTTTGATCCCCAGTACCGAAGAAAAAAAAAATTTTTTTTTGCTTGGTTGTCTTCATGAAAATTGAATTACATTGAAAATTGTGCTACATCAAAACAATGAGGAGTTTTAGTTAAAATAACATGCTCTGCCAAAATCTATTTAATAATGAAATCAAATAAAATATATAATAATAATAATTTTTTTTTCCGGTACAGGGGATCAAACTCAGGAGCTTGCGTCTGTGAGGCAGGCATAGTGCCACTGAGCTAAATCCCCAGCCCCATAAAATACATAATTATTATAAATGAAACTACAATTGCCATTTTCAATGACATTTATCATTTTGGTCAATGTAGTATATAAATTTACTTGGAAGTAGTGTTGAAGGTTAAAAATTTAGAATAATTTAAAGAGTAGACAGCTTTAATGATCATCTTAATTTCCATAAAGGAAGTGAATTTCTCATGGGAATATCAATTTTTGTTGTGTAGGGGTACTGAAAGCATCTGGTTTGGATTGATTTGTCTGTTAACACTTTCTCCTTCATCATCATTAATACAGTGTTGGTTACTAGAAAATTAAGACTATAGCAGATATTCGATGTGTGTGGGGATACATTTGAAAAATATAGTGCTTTCCTCAGACATGGTATAACAGTGGCTGCAACCAGAAAAGCTTTCAAGGTAGGGCAAAGCATCCTCCTATAAGAAAACAAATGGTAACTGACAACCAGCTGCACAGTTGGGAGGCCAGTGGCAGGGTGAGACAGTGGTGAACTGAGAAGAGTATGTCCCATCTCAGTGGGACAGCCACTTCTCAGCCAGTTTCTGCCACAAAAGAACAAAAGCTTGGAATTATCAAATTGGATTTTATAAAATAAGCCTAATTTCTTTATTTTTATTTGTTAAGTTTCCCAGTTTTTAAATGGCAGCTAGTTTAAAAAAAGGTCTATCTGGGACAAAATTGTGCAGGTCCAACTAAACATTTCTGTTAACTGAATTGAGGCCATAGTTTACCTCTTTGTCACACGGTGATATACATTTCAAACAGTGTAACTGAGAAGCACAGGAAATATATTTTTGATAAGGTTCCAGAAACTGCATTCCCCACTGCCCTGTGCCTAGAAATCACCTCCCTACCACACTTTATCTAATGAAACAGGTTTTATCAGACATAGTATCCTATATTACTATTAGGAACAGTGACTATTATTGGAGTCATTCATATTATTATAAAATAATGGTAAGTATACTATCCATATAACAATATACTGAATTTTTATATACTCCTTTATAAAAATACATTACCTTGCCTTATTCTCTGAAAACAATCTTATATAGAAACAAATCTATAATTTAAGTTTGTAGTTCAGAAATGTGATGCAAGGAACAATTAAACTACCAAAGGTAACACAAATAAGATAGTGGAAAACAAGAGATTAAAACTAAAGCTTATGCACTCTGATGGATGAGCTTTTTTATGATCTAGTTTTATTATGTCTACAAAGCAGGTTATTATGAAATTAATATTGAATCCTACTGAAGAGAAAAAGCATGTACAACATCAATTTGTTGAGAAGCTACACTAAATGCTTGAAGCCTTCTTAAAATGTTCTGTAATAGGATAAAAGAACTACTAAAATGCAAATATGTGCACATGTGTTTTAAAATAAATTTTGAATTTTTGTAGTATTAATAGTTTTTCTTTTATTTACTTGTTTCAGGACCACTGCAAGAAGAACCTAATAAATAAAGTAAACTAAAGCAATACATTAAGCATTAAAAAAAGACAGACCAAATGATGGTTACACGTCTTTTATTTGTGACATTTGAATTATAAGCTCACAAAGAACTGATTTCATAAATATCTTTTAGTTTTACCTTACTTTACTAATGGATTTAATTGTGTTAGTCTGTTTTTATATTCAAACCCTTAATTTAATCACAAACGGAACTAAAAATATAGTCAACATTTTTTTCAAACGTATGTAAAAATGATACAGGAAAACTTTTAAATCTGAACACTAGAGGCTAGTAAAATAGCTTAATTGTTTCATTAGAAATGAACTCTTCCCTCTATATTATATAAATCCTTATATAGTCACTGAAAATTCTTACTCAGAATTAAAACCTGTTCAGAGGGAAATAACCTGTTATAAAAGTTTTTTGTTGAGATATATTTTAAAGCAAGAAAATGATCATTATTTCCAAAACACTTTGTTTGGCTAATTCTAGGAAAGAATCATCAGTTTCTTCAAAGACCAAAATGATCAGAGCAAGAATGACAACAGTATTATCCTAATGATGCCTCTATTTCCTTTTAGTGACTTAGTGTCTATTTCTTGAAGATACAGGCATACTTTTCCTACAATGTTTCTTTTTCTCACAGTGTGATACCCATGGGGTAAGAAATGAACACCAGGTAAGCGACCATAGAAAGTGATATGCTTCCACCAATGGCCAGAATGATGAATGGCATAAATAACCACAAATAGATGGGAGGAACTCTATTTAAGTTCCTTAATGTTTTTTCAAAGAGGTGGTTAAAAACAAACACTACCACCAAACTCAAAACAGTCTAATCTGAGGAGGTATGTTAAAGGAGGAAGAAAGAATAGTCAGGAAGCTAAGCCAAAATGGTTGGATATAAAATAGTTAAGAATTCTGTGTGGAATTTAAAATGGAGAAAAATTTTCTGGTGTCTAAAAAGTAAGTCAGTATTTCATAGACATAACTGGGTTTGAAGAAGGGATGGAATAGTTTCTGATCAGGCTTGTGGTGGATGACACCCAAAATGCAGCCACTGGAGAGTGTGGGAAGCTTCTAATGAAGCTACAGAAATGGTTACCAACTGGACAGCAAGACTTCCCAGGGGATGCTCCTGTTGGAAAAGCTCTAACAGAAGTAGGGCTAAAGGGCCATTGGTAATAGCATTCAAATATTTAATGGGTGTGCAAATAAAGATATTATTATATGTTTACTTATCCCATGTAGTCACTGGACCTTTCCAAAGGTGGGGACTAGAAAAGATGTGCTGAAACTCACAGACTACTTCAGCTCAAGTTGACTGGAAGGAGTTCAGACATTGGAAAGCTTCAGTGGTTTCTACCAGAGGCTGTGGTAGGACTCCTGTGCCTGAAGACATGGGAGAGGAGAACAGGTTCTCACCGGGGAATGTCACTGACATGGTTTGGGAGGTAGCAGGAAAGGATTAAGAAATCTGCCAACGTTCCTTCCATTTAGTCTGGCTCTGAGATTCTCGGCTCTTAGGAATGAGAAAACACTCCAAGAGGAGAATATTAACAATCTATGAAGCAGAAAATGACTCTAGCTTAGTATTTCTTCACCTATTATTTGTCATTATTTTTCTGCTGAGGAGCTTTTTTAGACATTTTATGCCTAATCATCTCCCCCACCTCCTCTGCCATCTCCCATGAAGTTTTAATGCCACATAAATTCTTCATATATGAGTAAGTGCTGTGGTCTTTTGGAGGACCACAATCCATTGTAATATCTAGGATTTCCCTTAACAAAAACACCCTCAAGAAGAACACATGAAGTCTGTGATCAAACCATGGGTCTGAGTAGGCAGTCACTGTGGGAGAACCAAAGCTACTCAAACATGTAAGCTCTTATTATCCAGGATACTTGTGTACTGTCTGCACTGGAACCTCTTCCTGCTTCCTTTTCCTTCTATTAATGGAAAAGTAAGATCTGTGTCACTGCTGTGTTATCTAACTCTAATGGGTACAGTCATTTCCATGGACCTCTGATAATCCTAAGGAGTGGATGCACACATGTATAGACTCACCCTCTCTAAAATGTACAAGTATAGATTTTTACAGCTTAATAATAAGTTACGGAATTCAATAATGATTGGATCAGGAAGATAACACCTGAGCACACTGATCAATCTTAATATCATGAAAAGAGACAATTAGATATTATGTGTTTTCTGATATGATAGGAAAGAAACAAATACAGTACTCATGCCAAAAGTTTAACCTAAATCTCATAATGAGAAACAAGGAGAAAAACAAAAGAAAACAAACACAAAAACTCCAAATTGTGGGACACTCTATAAACAAACCAGGTTGAACTCTTTCATGTCAGTCATGAAAGCGATACCACATCACACACACACACACACATACACACACACACACACCAAAGCCCTCCACAAACATACTTTACCACACAAGCACACACACTAAAGGGGATTCTAATCCATTCAAGAAGACTAAAGACAATGACAAGTTAATGCAGTGTGTGATTCTTGACTGGATCCTAGGTTTAAAAGAGACAGACTATAAAGAATATTTTTGAGACAACTGGAGAATTTTGACCATGGATTGTATACTAGGTATACCATATATATATATATATATATATATTTTTTTTTTTTTTTTTTTGTTCAGTTTCTTGGAGGTGATAATGACATTGAAGATGGACTGGACAATGTTATTGATAAGAAGGAACATAATGAAGTACTTTAAAGTTTCATGATGACTACAACTTATTTTCAAATGGTTCAGCAATAGGAATGGATATTTGCAGAAAGACAGAAAATGGGGCAAACTGTTAACAATTGATGCACTTAAGGATGCTCTTGTAATCTTTCAATATTGAAATTTCCACTTTGAATTTTCTCAGAATAAAATAAAAAGTAAAAAAAGGAGGAGTAGATGGGTCAAGTTAGGAAAGAGCAGCAGAGTTGCGGGCCTCTGCCCCGGAGGGCTGGAGAAGACCAAGGGAGGAGCTAAGATCCTCAATTTGCAGTAAGAGATGCATGGAAACTGAAGTCAGGCCAAAGCATTAGAAATCACCTGCAAAGATTCTCAACAGAATTTGCCAAACAAAGTTCTGCAGTAATAGGATCACCCGAAAATGAAGAAATAAGAACATTTTGCCAGAATTTACTCTAGAAGAGTTGATTAGAGCAATTATCAATATAACCAGGAAGAAATTGTTCTAAGAAGTTTAAAAATATTTAAATTTTTAAATTGAGTGGAAATTTCATACAGTTAATAGAAAATAACCTTAAAAGTTAATGACAAATGTCTTCAGAGTCTAATCTCCCACTTGATTAAGCATCATTAAAATGAAAGAAACATTTAACTTCTTAAATGCAAAAATCTGTGGTTTTCCAGGGTACAAAGCTAGAGAACCTCTGAGAAGATGAGTTTCATACTGTCATTTCTCTGCACCATCATCCTGCATTCCCACGTGGTATCACATAATTGCATAGGTTGGAACTGAGGGGCTCTTGTTTCTCTGGATCCTTAGGCCAGTCAGATACTCTTGCAGCCAAAAGTGATGCTGAAAAAAATCTTGGCCTATCTTGACCTCTAAAAGTCAGTGAGGGAAAAAAAGCTTTATTGTTGACCAGAGCACAGTAAGATAGAGAGAGGTAGCAACATCTGAGTTCCATGGGGCAATGTGTTTGAGATATAAAGCAAGGGTGCATCTGCATGGTTAGGTCAACATAGAATGCTACTGTGTCCAAACAATCAACCCTTTTTTAGTCTGCAGAAAGAATTCATGATTACTAGGCTTTCATGGCAGCCACAAATGGCTTGAACACATTATGTAAAATAAAGTAAAACCAGAGTTGCTCAGTTATCTTTTAAATGTTAAAATGCACTAATACATTCTTATCTACTTCCCTTCACCAACTGGTACTTTGTTAAACTCACATATCATTGGAAGTATTATTACCCCCTAGTCAGAGGTTGGGCTATCAGGAACAAAGTTTTATGAATGAATCGGAGAATGCAGCATTTCATTAACCATACTCAGGTTTCAAACATCAGGATGCGGAACAGAATGTGTTTTTCTATCTACTGGAAGAGAGCAACTGGAATGGATGGTAGAGGGCAGTCAGCTCTGGCTCCACTGTGGACAATCACAGGAGCAGAAATTAATTGTGTGCCGTGATATAACGTGACAGAGGACGAGGAAGTCGCAAGTCAGTGACTGGGAATTTAACCTACTCACACCAAATAACCAATTGTCCTTTTGTTTTATCACTGAAATATTAATATTATGTAGAGACAGCCATGATTCCCTACCCTTTAATGAAGAACAAACACTGCACTAATCTGGCTCACGGCTCCTACTGGTCACTCTTAGTCATTTGTAACTTTCTTTTACTTCTCTCTTCTGGGAAATAAGAAGGAACATCGACAAGAGAGTCAAGGGATGATGGTTATTACAAAAAAATACATTCTGATCTGGACAAACTGGTAATTTGTTAGCTTTCTGTTAACAACCAGTCTGTTCCCTATAGTTAGAATGTGACAACCATTTGGGGCAGAGACAAGTTAGTCCATGGAGTGGTCCCCAACAAAATGGCTCATTCGGGAAATGGTACAATGCTGCCTGCCAGACCTGGCTTCAGATCTCTTACAGTGCCACGGCTCTGTGCAATGTTAAACCACGAGATCAGAGCAGGAGCTTTCATAGATCTCAAAGGAAGGCTTATTACAGAAAAATCTGCTGTCCATCCAAAGTTTCAAAATTCACTCAGTACTTAGAAAACAAATGACAGCAAAGTCAGCCAGCTAACAAGATGGAGAAGTAGAAAGGTACAAATAAACATCTCAGTCTCAAAACCTGAATTCCAGTAAAGCTTAGGTGGCAGGTCACAGGCAGAACTGTGACACGCATGGAAGTACACAGGCCCCTCCTGGGCAAGTCCCGAGCCAGACGGGTCAGGGCTGGTCCTTCTGTGTGCCGTGGTCTGCCTGGTCCGAAGGTCTAGGCTAGCAGCACTCGGACGGGTAAGAGCACATGACGTGAGTGGGAAAGGTCTCCCAGGAGTCCCCGCTTGTCTCCAGCTCTCTTGCCCCAGGAAGTAGGTGTGCCACTTCAACTAGGAAGTCCACCACCTGTCCACTTAGGACTCCAGGAGGCTTTTCTTTCTTCTGAAGGATGAGGTGGAGTGTCAGTGACACATTCTGCTCGTCATCTCTTTCTAGAAAGTAAGGGGAGAAGGACAGTTAGGAGAAACTAAGCAGAGCAATGATTTGATGAAAGATTCTGAAAATACTCCCGGGAATTTCAGAGCCTTTCAGCAAAAGGTTGCAAAGCATGGCCCATGAATAATGCTGAGTGAGGATGAGTTCTATGTTGTCTGCAGATTTATTTCTTTCATTAACACAGTGTTTTAAAATTTTGACTATCTTGTCAAAAATCCAACTTGTTTGCTTTTACTTAAAAAAAAAAAAAAGCAAGATCTAGAGCCACTGAGCAGTGCTGTTGAAGACTGGCTGTCTGCTTTGGATGAAGAATGTGCTCTGCAGGTTGCCCCTGTCCCTACCACTCCCAGTTGTCTCCCCGCTTCACTTGCCAGCTGATGTGATCATTGCTATTTTGCTTAGAAGAGAGAATAACTTCTCTTTAGTTAATTTTCAAAGATGGGTAAATGAATAACAAGTGTGTCTAAGAAAAGCAGAAAGAGAAGACAATGTTAATGGAAATGAAGCATACAGCAAGTGTCTGATATACAATCACCTGGCCTTTCAGCCATGGACATCATCTGCCTGGCTCTTGAGAGCATGTACAGATCCCAAATGTGCCAGCCTTTCTCTTCTGCACAGGCTGAGCCTCTTGCCCAGTGCCCGCTCCTGCTACACCTTACTCATCCCTCTTTTTTGGTTAATTGTCATTTATTTTCCCAAGTCAGATGAGACGACTTCCACCTGACTTCCGCCTGACACCCCATTCCACCCACAGGGGAGATGCCACTCCCTTCATCCTTGCCCACCTGCATTTTGCGTAGGACGTTCTGGTTTGTACCTGTCAGTATGCATGGGCTCTGGGCATGACTGTTGTTACTAGTTACTGAGTTTCAAGAACAAGAAGAAATAGGGCCAGGGATTTAGCTTAGTGGTTCCAGAGCCTGCCTCGCAAGCGCAAGGTCCCGAGTTCAATCCCCGGTACCAAAAAAAATTTTAAAAAAGAAGAAGAATATTCATTGAATCATTCCATGTGCTTTCACTTTTGTAGGCTCCATCCCAACACTAGGCAGATGGCAATGACTCCTCTTTCATCTCTAAGAACAGTCTGGGTAAAAGGCTGAAAATGAGCCCTGTGCCATTCAGCATTGAGGGAGGACAAGATTAATGTCATTTTAATTAGATGAATAAGTTGCTTTCAAGTTCCACTTGCAGCAGGAAGAACTGCAACTGCTATTTCTCTTGCATGCTGACCTGCAAGAACCAAGTTCACTCATATTTTAATCCCACCTTTGCTGCACATTACCTACCTGCATGATCTGCCTGAGCCCACAAGTCTTACCTAAAATGTCCCTTCTAGCCATTAGAAAGTTTATTAGCAATTTCATTGCTGCCTCCTGGATTCATCCTATGTAAGATGCTGTCAAAAAGGGCTGGGCCTGCTGTTTGCTGATGGATTCCCAGTTCTGGTGATTGATGTTCAATAAATGTTTGTTTAATCAACAAATGAATAGGCCCCACTCTCCTTATTCACAAGGCAGAGGAAGTAATACTGAACTGAGAAAGTCATGAGAACGTTAAATGTGCTAACATACACACAGACTCAATACACCTTAATTTCTTTTATCTCTTCCCATAGAATGATGCATTTCAGAAGCACAAACCTGGCGACAGTCATTTCTTACTGGAGGAGGAGGCCTGGGAGGATATCTCTGATAATATACCCACTGAGACAGATCCAAAATTGGCTGGCCAGTGGGGGTGTGGAGGTGAGACCTGACCAGCGATCTGGTGTTTCTGTGGATGGAGCAGAGGTCATGATGTGGACAGGTAAATAAGGACCTGTGCACTTGGGGTGAGGGATGGAAATAAACCACGACAAGCCTAAAATGAACTTGCTGTTTGTTGCTTCCAAAGGTTCCTATATTTTGGGTTAACTACTAATGATAGAGATAGAAAAAATAAAATGGAGATGCAATAATGTTGTGTATTTGAGACAGAAAGAGAAGAGAGAAATTATGTTGAAGGGATGAGCGTAATTTTAACTTTGTAATTACCTCTAAATATTTGAAATGGGTCAGTACTTTTAGAAAAAAAAAACCCACCTAGCATTTGCTAAGCACTATGAAGTGTCAGGTGCTTTCAGGTGGCAACGTCATGGGATTTATATAACTCTGAGAAGGAACCAGGATCTTTGTTTGGCAGAAGAATGCCAGTCTCAGAGCAGAAGTGATCTGCTCAAGGTAAACAGGTGAAATGCAGAGCCTAAGTGGGAACACCAAGCACAGTCCCAGTGCTCACTGCATCAGTTCCAGCGCTCGCTGCCCCACAGGAACTACCTCATGTAACCCTGGCCCTACTAACCCAAGAAGTAGATTTGCCAACTCCATTATACCGATGAGGACACAGGTTTAGGGAAGGAGAGTAACTTATAAGTTGTGCAGAAAATGGCAGGTGGGGGATTTAAGTTCAGCTCTGACTGAAAAGACCAGCTCTTTCTACCACACCATTCGGTTTTAGTTTAAAGGCCCCTGAGACAGTCTCATGAGCATGAATTCCAGTGATATTGACTTACATATTAATTATAGATGGTTGCAAGTTGTTCCTGATTTTCCAGAATGCCAGAGATACTTTTTCTTCACTGGGAATTGCATGGATAAATACTAAAACGATTACAGCACCAAGACTATGGATACTACAAATACGGAAGAGTTTGTTTTTTTTTTAAGGAAGTCCAGGGGAGAACAGTTTCACTGAGGATATGGATTTATCCAAGGTCACTGAGTTACTCTATGATGAGCAGGGACTGGGTTTTCCTCAAAACAGTGCGCTGCCTCAATATACAGAAAAGAAAACTGCTTCCTGGGATGTCTCTTAAATTCCTACGCGAGAAGGATGGTTGAAATGGCAGGTCGGAAACTTGAAGATAGTGTATGCAATTGGATTTGGCCTTTAAGACCATAGGCCTGAAAGCCATATTCCAGCACTTCCCCACTGGGTGACGCCAATGAGCTATTTAAAGAAACCACTGGAGATTAGGCTTTCCTCTCCAGAGCCTTCCCTCCGGCATCTGGCAGAACCAAACACACTCCCTCCAACTGGGGACTGAGGCTTCTACCTGGGCACTCTAGGGGGAATTTGCTATTGCTGGAGTTACTGAATGCCATATATGTTTTAAGTCAGTCCACTAAAGAACTCCAAACAGCACTTAAAATCCTCAGAGGTGATGACAATTTTGACAGATGTTCATAGAGACTGTTCTTGGCTTGTATATGAAGATCTTTTAAAAAAAGCATTTGGATTTTGAAAAATGTGTTCTTACAGAAGGAATAAAGTAGGGATTTCGTTGTGTCACTCAGTATCATTTAGTCCCTGGTTGTATGCTGCCAACAAAAATTCCACGCTCTGCAGCCTGGATAACAAAATCAGGGTACACAGCCAGGTCCCACCAACTTCTGCTCATGTGCTAAACCCCATCATCCTCACCTGCCAGGCCAACCACACTGCTCCGTGTCTCTAGCAGGTTGGCATCTGGTAGCTTCTCACAGATTCTTCTATCTGGTAAACACCTCTGCTCTCTTAAGGCTGGACATTTTCACATCCTTCAAGATTCAGCTTTCAGCTCTCAGAAAGTGTAGCTAGCATCCTTCTTGAGTTGCTCATCACTTTGCACACCCTTGCACTATATCGTTTTCCACCAGCACTGGTATTCATTTCCTTTTTGCCTCCATCTGAGAAGACACTTAAAACTTTGTGGTATATTCATGGGTGATGAGGGATATTTTTTTCTTCAAGTCACATGCAGTATAATGGTTTGAGCCAGTTATTTTTAGGAAAAATACAAACAAAATATGCATCCAACATGAGTTTATCTCTGAGTAAATGAAGCTATGTATATTTCATGATTTTTTTCTTTGCATAGTCTCTGACTTGTAGATATTTTTAATATGTATTTTTTTCTGATAAGAAAACAGGCTCAAATAAAGGAGCATAAAGGGTAGCAGAGCAAGGCTCCAAATCAAAATCATACTTAGTTTTAGAAATGAAGTTAAAATGATTTGTGCCTAGTTTTTGCAGGGGTGATGGAGGTAAAGGGAATCAGTCTCTCTTTTCTATGAGATACTCAGCTTCAGTCTGATCTAAACACTTTTTAAATTAGAAATGTTCTCCATTTGTTAGCTATCGCAAAAAGTCTTTTGATATCCATAGAAGAAATGTCTATGAACTCTGTAAGTCAGATATCTCTCGGTGCAGTCAGTCTTATCTCTCAGTTTACCTTTTCTTACAACTGTTAGGCAGTGGAGAACACGGAATAAATGATTTGCAGAATTACAATAACTTATTCTAGGTCACACAAATAATTTCTGACCCAACCAACTTGGATTATTAGTTTGTGACACTATCCCATCATGCTGTTAAGCCTCTAAGTTTTACATGGAATAGATAAAGGAAAAGCTGTGGTGTTCACTGGGTGGCAGTCATTATAGCAATTTTAGTAAGAGAACTTTCGTATTGTAGAACAGGCTCCAAGAAATTAACATCACAGAGTGACAGGCTACTAGAAACTATCAGGAAACACGACATTATTGAGACCAACACCATCATTTCAGAGATGTGGGAGCTCAAACTTGTGCAGAGCAAGTGTCTTTCCAAATGTGGCCAGCTGACTGCGGCAGCACCAGGGCTTCTGCCTGGTGGATTCTGCACTGCATGTTGGCTTGGAAGAAGCCTCTATGCCAAGGGGTTCTCAGATATGCTGGAAACTTTCTGGGAAAAGACCTTTACATCAGTGAAACCCTCGCCTCACTAGCAGCCATTAAAAATCCAATGATTTAAAATAGGCAGTGAGAAGTACACAAGGTGTTAGATTTGGCCTAAGAGATATAAGTTACCTCTCATCTAACATTGCCCTACAAGCACATTCTCTGCGTCTGTGTATCCTCTCTCTGTCCTGTCTCTGTCATACAGAGACACACAAACACTTTTTTGTGGGATTGGGAATTGAGCCCATGGCTTT